GATGGGCATCTCCCCTCGCAGCTACACACACCCTGCCTCACCAGATATAACCGATGGGCATCTCCCCTCGCAGCTACACACACCCTGCCTTACCAGATACAACCGATGGGCATCTCCCCTCGCAGCTACACACACCCTGCCTCACCAGATACAACCGATGGGCATCTCCCCTCGCAGCTACACACACCCTGCCTCACCAGATACAACCGATGGGCATCTCCCCTCATAGCTAAGGAAGCCAAGCCTTGGATCAAGGAACCTGTGTAAGGCCGCAGGGCTAGCAACAGGTCTGCAGACTCCAAACCCAGTCTTTCCTTCACTCATACTCCTTTCTGGCCTAAAGCTAATTTATATGAGACACAAAATAACTTTCAACTAAAGTGACTGAACTTTAAAAGAATCGTTTTTATTATGACTTTATCAAAATGAAATGAATTTTGTTCAGAACAGCCTGCTTCTCAGGTTTCTGCTCCTGCACGGGGCTTGTTGAGGGAGCAGAGCAGTGTCACTAAATGGACTCTTCCTTGGATGAGTAGGCTGTCTCTCTTTTGAAGGGTGCCGAGACTGTCCATGGACTTTTAGAGGTGGCAAAAGACTCAGTTCCCCGAAGTCACTGGAAAAGGACCCCAGTGGTCCTGAAGGCCACAGCAGGACTGCGCTTACTGCCAGAACACAAAGCCCAGGCTCTGCTCTTTGAGGTAATTTTTGAAAATTGCTTTATCTTGAAAAATTTTTTCCTATGTGAATTTTTTAAAAATTGGTTTTTAGCCCTTTGGCCTGGGACTGATAGCCCCAGTATTGTACCATTGCTAAAGGATTATGGTAACCATGAGGTCTTGCCATTACTTTACATTTTTAAATTTTACTCTTGAATTTATAGAGCTCCTCTTCCTAAAAAGTTTATAAAGTACTTCCTATCCATGATTCCTTAATTCCCTTAACGGTTAAAGCAGAATCATAGATTTGTTTTTCATGAACTTTATTGAAGTATAGCATTGTTGTTGTTAAGTACTGTGGAGTCAACTCCCACTCATAGTGACCCTGCACAGGGTTTCCGAGGCTATAAATCTTTACGGGAGCAGAACGCCTAATCATTCTCCTGCCGAACCGCTGGTAGTTTCGAACTGCTGACCTTGAGGTTGGCAGCCCGACTTGTAACCACTGTACTCCTTACTAAAATGTATCCATTTTAATGAGTTTTGACAAACATAGTTAACTTATGCAATCCCCTTGAAACCTGCTAACCACTGATGTGCTTTCTATTACCATAGATTGATTTGCTTGTTCTTGAATTTCTTATCAATGGAGCTATACAGTTTTTATTACTTTGTGCATGTGTGTCAGGTAATTTGTCTCTTAGCATAATGTTTTTGAGGCTAATTATTGAATTTTAAAGTGAGTAAGATTATAATTTTAATCTTATTTGAACAGAAAGATTTTTTAAAAAATTAACTCAATATTTTAAATTGTATATCTTTATTATGCTATGCCACCAGTGTTTTAAATAACCAGCAGGGTCACCCATGGTGGACAGGTTTCAGATGAGCTACAAAACAAAGACAGACTAGGAAGAAAGAGTGACAAACTACTTCCGAATCGCTAGTCACTGAAAACTCTATGA